CCAAACTGCATTTAAATCATAAGTAGAAGAGTCAGATAAATTTTTTACATTTCATGTATACCTAAAGTAGGTATATTTTTATTATTTATAAATAATGTAACAAATATGTTTGTGGGTTGGATTAACATGCGCTTATGCCAGATATCAGTACAGCCAATCTAGAAGATGTATTTGTATTTTGATATCAAATAGACATTTAACTTGTCATCAAATTGTCCTTTCAGTAATAACTGTTTTTTGGAGTTGTCCTTTGTCATTTTCTTAATGGAGAGTCTGTAAAATACACTTTAGAAATAATTGCTTGCCATAAATTATATGAAACAATTATATAATATAATTATTTCATATTATATAATTTTAAATACATATGAATTAATTATAATTTTAAATCTTAATGTTTCTATAATAACTTCAATAAATCAATATTTTTACAATGTTAATTGTTATTTGAGATTTGGGTACAGATGAAAGTACTGTATATTAGATATGTTGTCAGGATGCAAGTTTATATTTCACTTCACAAATATTTGTAGTAACTTTTAATGAGTTTAAGATAAATGAATTTAAATTTTATTATTTTTGAAGCCAGCAGTATAATCAAACTATTTTTACTGAAGTTGTAGCTACATTTGATTCTCATGTTGTAGATAGAGAAATCTTTTTTTTTTCTTTCTTTCTTTTTTTATTTTTTAGATATAAATTGGGAGTAGACCCTTTTATTTAATTGACAAAAAATTTCTGTCCTAAGGGAAAAACTTAACCTTTTTTATTTGCAGAACATGCTAAAAGATGGGTCAATGAGTATAAATCAGTCAATGTATATCATAACAACATTTTATTCATACTTATACATTATAATATATTTTAATACATTTTATATTATAAGGTTGTTGTTAATATCTAAAAGGCCATTAAATCAAATGTTTTTTTAAAACACACATTTGATTCAATGGACTTTTGACAATAGCAGACACTGCCTTCTCTCCAATTAATCCATTAAATCAAGTGTGTATTTGTTATTTTGTTTACATTCTTATAAGTGGTTTTGTTTAAGTTACAAATATTTTTTTACAAAAGTTTTAATTTTTGGAATTTATGTAGAGTCTTGATCTCAAATTTCACTATCCTATCTCTTTGTAAACTTAAAAAAATAATAATACTGTAAATGAATTGCTTTACAAACCTCTTGGTACTTTATTTGGATGTGAATACCTCATTTGCATATAGTTACATTTTAGTCTCAAAATTGAATTACATAATAATATAATAAATAGCTGAACTTAACTGTCATCAAATTAAAGTATTACAGAAAATGTTCTATGGCAAGTTTACATAAATAAAAGCATATAAAATATATACCAATTGCAATATGTCTTCTTTAATATGCTATTGCATTTATAAAAATGCACTAAAGTACTTCTTATTTAGGTTATAGAAATAGTTGAATGAACTAAATTAAAGGGTCAATGCCATTTTAGTATTTAATGCATTCTTAAACACACATTATGGGTATGCAAATGGGTGTCACAGAAAAATGCTCTGTTTTATTTTTAACGTTTTTGACCTTATTAAAAGGCTTTCATCAAAGTACAGTACATTACATTGAATATCAAAAATGTTTTAAATCGAATACAGTATTCAAATTTGAAAAATGTAGAATATTAAAACAATCTTGGAATAGAATAGCAATCTATATTTTTCACATTTGTACATTGCATTTGATTTCTAGATTTCTGTAAACATTTTTGAAATAATTGTAATGTTGCCGGATAAAGATCTTTTAACAAGATCAAATGTTTGTTATTAAAAATTTTTGCTGCATTTTATGGTTTTGTTTTCTGTTTAAATTTTTTCAGTTTCTGCAATTGATTTTGATTAAAGTTTTAATTTTTTGTACACTACTATCTATATATTTTTGGATTATATTATAGAATTAAAATATAATTTGGCAACAACATATTTGGAGAAATCAAATATTGATATAGCCTATCTATGTCAGATCTTCAGTTTACACATATGAATCATTTAATTCAGAAAAAATTTTTGATTAATGATTGTATAATTAATAATGCAATAAAATATTTCTATCATTTGCTAGTTCAAATCTAATTATACATTTTTTCTTCTTTTTTAATGTTTTTAAATCCATCATGTAATTATTAATTGACAAATTTTTGTAATGACTTAATATTGTAAAAGTTCTAGAAATTGATTAAAAATAAATCTAAAGCTTATCAAATTCAAAGGATACACGGGCAATTTAGAAAAATATTTACTACTAATGATTAATTAATACATTATTAAAATATGTATTTCTGATTACTAAGTACACTCAAATTGTTTATCAATGTTATCAACTCTATATTTGGCAATTTGTAGTAACGACTGTTCATTCTCATAGAGAAACAGGAACTTGCAGATAATACCATGTATGTTTATGATGTTAAACATTGCTGTTCTTATCTGATGAATGAATGAAAAACAAGGAAAGATTCACTTTGATTCTAATATTATTTTTATAATATAAAAAATTTATATAATTGAAAAATTACTGCATTAGTTTATATACTGTATATTAGTAATGATGATTAAAAATTTATTAAGATTATTGATTTTATAATTTATTAATCAAAATCTTATTTTTAATTTAGCATCCAACTGACTTCCATCCACTGCTACATCGTGGAGATGTTCTGCTCAAGTCCAATCGCAGTTCACATAGCAGCGATAGTTCCTCAGCTTATTATTCAGGATCGGACATCATCCACTCTGTCCCATCATCTCTCGATGATCCTGAAGTTGACTTATCTGGATTGGCAGAAAGTGCTGTTGATTCTGATGAAGAAGAGGAACTTGCTGAATCATTAGATGTATGTTTTTGCAGTATGACAATAAGATTAAATCATTAATGCCTCTTGACAGTTAAATTTTACACTGAATTAACATCTCATTAAAATTTTCCTCCCTGTTGGTTAAGACTGGGAGGGATTAATAATTATTGATGTTTTATATACTAAATCATATAATTATTTATCATTAAAAAGATAACTATTGTCTATTGTAAGAGCAGGAAATGAGTTGTCTGATCATTTTATTGATAAGAACATTTGTTTCTATTAACAGAGTTTAACAGTGAGAGATACAGTAAAAGAATGTTTGGACAAAAGTCCTTGTATGAGAACAGATGAAGATATAGAATTTCTTTTAGAATTTGTGAAACATTTGCCTGTAAGTGTAATTATAAAAAACATGATAAATACATGAAACTACTATAATTTTGTGTTGATAAAATGCTTAAGACATACTTTTTTACTTAGGCATTTGCAAACATGACACTTGCAGTAAGAAGAGCTCTTTGTGCAGTAATGGCATTTGTCAGGTTTGAGAAAATGGGTAGTGTAGTCTTGAATGATGGAGAAGAATTAGATTCTTGGTCAGTCATAATTAATGGGCAGGTTGAAATAGAACATCCTGATGGAACATTACAAGAACTTCATTTAGGAGAAAGGTAAATTTCAAATTTATTGAAAATAAAACATTACAAAATTACATGAAAGACTTCTGGAAAATTATAAGTTAAATTCTTTTAATTGATTTTCATATCATATTAAAACATTAAATCTCATTAATAAACCATTTATTTAGTATTTTCCAATTACATTGTTTAATATTGTTCACAAATACATTTTCAATAAAATTAAATTTATTTTTGGTAATTATTATTTCAGTTTTGGTATTAGTCCAAGCATGGACAAGATATTTCATCACGGTATTATGAGAACAAAAGTCGATGATTGCCAATTTATATGTGTTGGATTGACTGACTATTATAACATTTTGCATCAAGGAGAAGAAAATACAAAGAAGCATGAAGAAGATGGTCGAGTTGTATTAATTACAGAACATAGAGTTTTTGATGGAGGAAACTGCAAAGGACATGTTGTTATTAGAGTAAGAATAATTATTTTCACTTAAGAAATATGTTTAATATTTTTTTAAGTTATAAACAAAAATCATTGTATAATTTTACAAAATAAATACTGAAAAATGAATATGCAATTACAGGGAACAGTTGATAGATTAATTTCACAGTTAGTGGAAGATAACTCCATGGATCCTTGCTATATTGAAGATTTTTTGTTGACATACAGAATATTTTCGTCTAGTCCTCTCCCAATTGCCAATAACCTTATAGAATGGTTTAATGATCCACATCTCAGGGACAAGGTTAGTTTTAACATGAAAGTTAAAATAATTTAAAAAGATTTATTTATAAATCAGTATGAATAATAAACAAAGACAACAAAATATTTTTGTTAAAAGTTTTGCAAAATTAAATTGCAATACTTTTAAAATGTCAACACAATGTACAAAAATATTGCAATCTTAAATTTCTGGAAACAATTCACTGAATGTAAAAAATGTGGTTTTGTAAGATGTATGAAATCATTTATCTTGATGTAAAATCATATATTTCATTCTACGTAAGACTAGATTTTGTTGAAATAGCATTAAATAACATTATACATTAAACAAAATTTTTTTTGGTTACTAAATTTACCAATATAAATACAAAAAAAATTTTATTTTTATGTTGTTTTATTTTAATTAATTTAATATATATNAGGGAAAAACTTAACCTTTTTTATTTGCAGAACATGCTAAAAGATGGGTCAATGAGTATAAATCAGTCAATGTATATCATAACAACATTTTATTCATACTTATTAGATAAATTTACAAAGTAACCACATTTACATTTTTTTTTAATTAATAATTATTAAATAATTGAAGTTGTATCTTAATAGTGTTGAGAAGACAAAAATAATGTGCCAAATCAAAGCAGGCTGTAGAAGTAATTGTACAAACTAATATTTTTATCAGCTTTCCCTTTTTCTTTCTTAGTATATTTTCTTTAGTATTGTGAAAATTAATACATGTATGGTAAATTAGCATAAAATAGTAATAATTTTTACAAATCTTTCATCAATTTATTTCAGATTAACCATTCTGACGCACAGCAATTGATTGGCCATCAGCAGCGGGTATGTACCATGAATGTGTCTTCAGAACAGGAGGAGGTGACGGGGAATGGCCGTTGTTTCCACTTTACTTTAGACAGTGCTGATATGTCACCCCATCATCTCCATGTTGTTGGACCATCTTTTCTCGTAAGTTATTTGCATAATTTAAGTTCTATTTTTTTGTTTGGTAAAATGAATAAGCTTAGTCCAGATTATTTGACTGAAGTTAATACTGTGAGTAATTAGGATATATTTCATAAAAATTGAAATAATACCATTTGATTAATGACCAGTTATATTACTATTATTCAAATGCAAATTTTCTGTCATCTACAGCAGAACTGTTACTTATTCTGATTCTATACAATTAATCATTAGTCTGAACATCAAATGGACATTTAAGAAGAGATAAAAGTATTTTTTAAGGTTTATTGATTAAGAGTTACAATGGATTTTTAAGAGTAATTAAAATACAGTGTTCATATGAATGAATATTTCACAAATATTTTATTCATATTATTGATTTTATTCATTGCAAATTGAATTATGTCAATGGAATAGAGAAAATTAATACATAATTTGCACATTTTGTAAATTCTATTTTCAATATGAAAGAATAAAGTCTCGTATTTAAAAGTGCATATCCTTTAGGTAATTAATGAACAAAGTTACTGAATTACTTAACAATGATTATGTTGTAAGCAGAACTTAATGATTTTTTTTCATATAATGTTCTTAATGTCCAGAAAGAAGTTTATACACTGTTTCTTATTTCTGTACAATAAGAAACTTTAATATTAAATGAAAAAAGAGTCTGAATATTTTTCTCAAAACATTTTTTAAATATTTATTTTAAATATTTTAACTGGTAACTGATAAAAAAAAAAAGCTAGAACTGAAACTATCCTGTAAGCAATTAAAAAACTGTTATATTGAAATTAATATTGTAAGCTTCCTTATTACTGTAACATATTACAAGGAAAAACTGATAAAAACATGTATTCAAGAGAATAAGTAATATTTATCTTCATACTTAGCTGAACAAAGAATTGCTTTCAAAAGAAATATTTGTTCTGCATTAAAGAATTATAGGTTTGTTTACTGTCTTAAGCTGAATTGTCTCTGAAATGTAAAGAAGGAATTAATACTAATTATTTAAAATAGAATATATTTTTTATTTATTGATAAAACATCAATTAACAGGGTTTTTGTTGTAGAAAACAGGAAACTTGTATATCCTTTAACCTTCATTTACTGTGATAATTATCTTGGATAAAACAGTAGTGCTTTTTAATGGATGAGGATTCTAAATAATTACAATTATGTAAATCAAATCAATTATCTCTTGGACTATTAAAACAACATGCTCTAGAAATTTTTTTTCCTTAACCTACAAGGAATGGTAATATTTTGTTCTATATTTTACTTCTAATTCACAAAAATTTTTCTTCAAACATTAGATATCTAATCCCAAACTTTTTAATTATAAAATTAGTGTATCTATAAACCATAATTTGAATTAAATTATTTAAACTTATTTTAAAACTTTTATGATTTAATTAGAATTAAACTTCCAGTTGTCTTAAAAGCTTTTTTTTAAAAATAATTATATTATTTTGAAATAAATAAAACCATTTTCTTTAACTGCTGAGGCTTTTATCTTATAATCTAGAACAGTGGTACAAAATTTTTCAATTGGTTGACCAAACTGCATTTAAATCATAAGTAGAAGAGTCAGATAAATTTTTTACATTTCATGTATACCTAAAGTAGGTATATTTTTATTATTTATAAATAATGTAACAAATATGTTTGTGGGTTGGATTAACATGCGCTTATGCCAGATATCAGTACAGCCAATCTAGAAGATGTATTTGTATTTTGATATCAAATAGACATTTAACTTGTCATCAAATTGTCCTTTCAGTAATAACTGTTTTTTGGAGTTGTCCTTTGTCATTTTCTTAATGGAGAGTCTGTAAAATACACTTTAGAAATAATTGCTTGCCATAAATTATATGAAACAATTATATAATATAATTATTTCATATTATATAATTTTAAATACATATGAATTAATTATAATTTTAAATCTTAATGTTTCTATAATAACTTCAATAAATCAATATTTTTACAATGTTAATTGTTATTTGAGATTTGGGTACAGATGAAAGTACTGTATATTAGATATGTTGTCAGGATGCAAGTTTATATTTCACTTCACAAATATTTGTAGTAACTTTTAATGAGTTTAAGATAAATGAATTTAAATTTTATTATTTTTGAAGCCAGCAGTATAATCAAACTATTTTTACTGAAGTTGTAGCTACATTTGATTCTCATGTTGTAGATAGAGAAATCTTTTTTTTTTCTTTCTTTCTTTTTTTATTTTTTAGATATAAATTGGGAGTAGACCCTTTTATTTAATTGACAAAAAATTTCTGTCCTAAGGGAAAAACTTAACCTTTTTTATTTGCAGAACATGCTAAAAGATGGGTCAATGAGTATAAATCAGTCAATGTATATCATAACAACATTTTATTCATACTTATACATTATAATATATTTTAATACATTTTATATTATAAGGTTGTTGTTAATATCTAAAAGGCCATTAAATCAAATGTTTTTTTAAAACACACATTTGATTCAATGGACTTTTGACAATAGCAGACACTGCCTTCTCTCCAATTAATCCATTAAATCAAGTGTGTATTTGTTATTTTGTTTACATTCTTATAAGTGGTTTTGTTTAAGTTACAAATATTTTTTTACAAAAGTTTTAATTTTTGGAATTTATGTAGAGTCTTGATCTCAAATTTCACTATCCTATCTCTTTGTAAACTTAAAAAAATAATAATACTGTAAATGAATTGCTTTACAAACCTCTTGGTACTTTATTTGGATGTGAATACCTCATTTGCATATAGTTACATTTTAGTCTCAAAATTGAATTACATAATAATATAATAAATAGCTGAACTTAACTGTCATCAAATTAAAGTATTACAGAAAATGTTCTATGGCAAGTTTACATAAATAAAAGCATATAAAATATATACCAATTGCAATATGTCTTCTTTAATATGCTATTGCATTTATAAAAATGCACTAAAGTACTTCTTATTTAGGTTATAGAAATAGTTGAATGAACTAAATTAAAGGGTCAATGCCATTTTAGTATTTAATGCATTCTTAAACACACATTATGGGTATGCAAATGGGTGTCACAGAAAAATGCTCTGTTTTATTTTTAACGTTTTTGACCTTATTAAAAGGCTTTCATCAAAGTACAGTACATTACATTGAATATCAAAAATGTTTTAAATCGAATACAGTATTCAAATTTGAAAAATGTAGAATATTAAAACAATCTTGGAATAGAATAGCAATCTATATTTTTCACATTTGTACATTGCATTTGATTTCTAGATTTCTGTAAACATTTTTGAAATAATTGTAATGTTGCCGGATAAAGATCTTTTAACAAGATCAAATGTTTGTTATTAAAAATTTTTGCTGCATTTTATGGTTTTGTTTTCTGTTTAAATTTTTTCAGTTTCTGCAATTGATTTTGATTAAAGTTTTAATTTTTTGTACACTACTATCTATATATTTTTGGATTATATTATAGAATTAAAATATAATTTGGCAACAACATATTTGGAGAAATCAAATATTGATATAGCCTATCTATGTCAGATCTTCAGTTTACACATATGAATCATTTAATTCAGAAAAAATTTTTGATTAATGATTGTATAATTAATAATGCAATAAAATATTTCTATCATTTGCTAGTTCAAATCTAATTATACATTTTTTCTTCTTTTTTAATGTTTTTAAATCCATCATGTAATTATTAATTGACAAATTTTTGTAATGACTTAATATTGTAAAAGTTCTAGAAATTGATTAAAAATAAATTTAAAGCTTATCAAATTCAAAGGATACACGGGCAATTTAGAAAAATATTTACTACTAATGATTAATTAATACATTATTAAAATATGTATTTCTGATTACTAAGTACACTCAAATTGTTTATCAATGTTATCAACTCTATATTTGGCAATTTGTAGTAACGACTGTTCATTCTCATAGAGAAACAGGAACTTGCAGATAATACCATGTATGTTTATGATGTTAAACATTGCTGTTCTTATCTGATGAATGAATGAAAAACAAGGAAAGATTCACTTTGATTCTAATATTATTTTTATAATATAAAAAATTTATATAATTGAAAAATTACTGCATTAGTTTATATACTGTATATTAGTAATGATGATTAAAAATTTATTAAGATTATTGATTTTATAATTTATTAATCAAAATCTTATTTTTAATTTAGCATCCAACTGACTTCCATCCACTGCTACATCGTGGAGATGTTCTGCTCAAGTCCAATCGCAGTTCACATAGCAGCGATAGTTCCTCAGCTTATTATTCAGGATCGGACATCATCCACTCTGTCCCATCATCTCTCGATGATCCTGAAGTTGACTTATCTGGATTGGCAGAAAGTGCTGTTGATTCTGATGAAGAAGAGGAACTTGCTGAATCATTAGATGTATGTTTTTGCAGTATGACAATAAGATTAAATCATTAATGCCTCTTGACAGTTAAATTTTACACTGAATTAACATCTCATTAAAATTTTCCTCCCTGTTGGTTAAGACTGGGAGGGATTAATAATTATTGATGTTTTATATACTAAATCATATAATTATTTATCATTAAAAAGATAACTATTGTCTATTGTAAGAGCAGGAAATGAGTTGTCTGATCATTTTATTGATAAGAACATTTGTTTCTATTAACAGAGTTTAACAGTGAGAGATACAGTAAAAGAATGTTTGGACAAAAGTCCTTGTATGAGAACAGATGAAGATATAGAATTTCTTTTAGAATTTGTGAAACATTTGCCTGTAAGTGTAATTATAAAAAACATGATAAATACATGAAACTACTATAATTTTGTGTTGATAAAATGCTTAAGACATACTTTTTTACTTAGGCATTTGCAAACATGACACTTGCAGTAAGAAGAGCTCTTTGTGCAGTAATGGCATTTGTCAGGTTTGAGAAAATGGGTAGTGTAGTCTTGAATGATGGAGAAGAATTAGATTCTTGGTCAGTCATAATTAATGGGCAGGTTGAAATAGAACATCCTGATGGAACATTACAAGAACTTCATTTAGGAGAAAGGTAAATTTCAAATTTATTGAAAATAAAACATTACAAAATTACATGAAAGACTTCTGGAAAATTATAAGTTAAATTCTTTTAATTGATTTTCATATCATATTAAAACATTAAATCTCATTAATAAACCATTTATTTAGTATTTTCCAATTACATTGTTTAATATTGTTCACAAATACATTTTCAATAAAATTAAATTTATTTTTGGTAATTATTATTTCAGTTTTGGTATTAGTCCAAGCATGGACAAGATATTTCATCACGGTATTATGAGAACAAAAGTCGATGATTGCCAATTTATATGTGTTGGATTGACTGACTATTATAACATTTTGCATCAAGGAGAAGAAAATACAAAGAAGCATGAAGAAGATGGTCGAGTTGTATTAATTACAGAACATAGAGTTTTTGATGGAGGAAACTGCAAAGGACATGTTGTTATTAGAGTAAGAATAATTATTTTCACTTAAGAAATATGTTTAATATTTTCTTAAGTTATAAACAAAAATCATTGTATAATTTTACAAAATAAATACTGAAAAATGAATATGCAATTACAGGGAACAGTTGATAGATTAATTTCACAGTTAGTGGAAGATAACTCCATGGATCCTTGCTATATTGAAGATTTTTTGTTGACATACAGAATATTTTCGTCTAGTCCTCTCCCAATTGCCAATAACCTTATAGAATGGTTTAATGATCCACATCTCAGGGACAAGGTTAGTTTTAACATGAAAGTTAAAATAATTTAAAAAGATTTATTTATAAATCAGTATGAATAATAAACAAAGACAACAAAATATTTTTGTTAAAAGTTTTGCAAAATTAAATTGCAATACTTTTAAAATGTCAACACAATGTACAAAAATATTGCAATCTTAAATTTCTGGAAACAATTCACTGAATGTAAAAAATGTGGTTTTGTAAGATGTATGAAATCATTTATCTTGATGTAAAATCATATATTTCATTCTACGTAAGACTAGATTTTGTTGAAATAGCATTAAATAACATTATACATTAAACAAAATTTTTTTTGGTTACTAAATTTACCAATATAAATACAAAAAAAATTTTATTTTTATGTTGTTTTATTTTAATTAATTTAATATATATACATATAATAAATAGCACAGATATATATAGAAAATGCTGATGGATTTTAAAATTATGACTACATTAAACTTCTAAAATAATAATAGTAGTTAACATAAAAGAGAAGTTTTTTTAAACAAAGGATAAAATTTTCTGTTTGTATCAAAAATAACAATAGGTTATTTATTTTATCAATAACTCAAAAATATTTAGCAAATGAGTTAAAATTAGACTTTGCTCAAAAAATTCTTTTATCTATAATATCAAATATTTATTTTTCAAGAGATAGGAGTGAATTGCAAATTACTAAAAAAATATTAAAATTTTTTTATTTATTTACAATGATATAAACAAAAAATAGTAAATGTTATGTACTGTACATAAAGTTTCTTCTTATAAAAAAAAAGCAAATAACTGAAATTTAAATAATTTAATAAGCCAAAAACAAAAATAAAGTTTACATAGTTTGATATCAAATAGTTTGCTTAAGAGAACTGAAATACTTAACTAAAAAATTATTTCACTCATATACATTTAAAATATACTCATATAATGAAGTATTTCAGTTTTTGTAAGCAAACTGTTTGGTATCATGGACTATGCGAATTCTATTTTTATTTTCTCTTAATTCTCCATGAGATATGAGAAAGCTAATTCAGTAATTTAATAAGCTTGGTAATTAAAATATAATTAATTTGAAAAATTTTATTTTTATAGTTGTATTTTAGAATTTCTTTTGACTTTTCATAAAGTTAATGTAGAATTTCTTAAAATTCTTTTCATTTCTTATCAATATAAATTTTATTTTTTTAAAATGATTTATACAATATTAGTTTAATCATCATTCTTCATTTTAATACATTTGCATTATATAGCTCCAACATAGATAATTGTTTTTTACTCCTAAGTAATTTTATTAATAAGATTCTTTGATGCAAAACTATTTTACAATATTATTAGAATTTGTATTATATTTAGATTTTGTATATTTTAAATCAGTAATTTTCTTCCTCTATTCTAGTTCAGTTAAAGTTTTTAAATTTCTCTGTTTATCAAAAAAGGTATTTGAAAATAGAAATTATCTTTTTGAAATATGAAAATATTTCTATGAACTTACATAATTTTCTGACTTTTGCCAATGAAGTAATTATTTTCTTACTTAAACTAAGAAATATAAATATACAGTCGACCCCTCTATAACACTGTTGATTTTTCCGTTTTATATGAATTCCATGTTGTACGAGTCACTTAGATTTTACAAATACATGAGCCGAGTTGTGAATGGCTCATGTATTTGTAAAATCTAAGTGACTCGTACAACATGGAATTCATATAAAACGGAATAATCAACAGTGTTATAGGGGGGTCGACTGTATATTTATTTATTTATTTACTTTTTAATTTGGAAATAATAATAATTGCACAAAGCATAATAATTAAAAACTTACTTAATAATACATTATTTAATTCACTTTTCAGAAGCAAAAGATATATCAGAAAATTTTGATGAAGCAAACTTTTTCATTTTCTCATGCATATTTTATTTTTTTATTTTCATTTTATTGTCATTTTGGTGTCAAACTAGCATTTCATCATATTTATTTTAAGTTTTATCTCATGATTTATTTCATATAATTTATGATTTCTAAAAATCATTTAGAGTAGTTATGTATATTTTGTAATATTTAAATTAATAAATTATAAAAATCTAAAGAGTTTCTGTTTGTTTATTATTATTTGACTATTCATGCTCTACTTACAATATAAGAATATAGTAGAAAAATTAATAATATATTTAATTAGCAATTATATGTGGTGCAGATCAATATCAAATAATTATTTCATTGAATGCATAGATAGTTTATCTGAAATACTGTAATAAAGAGATAATAATTAAAGTATTTGTTTTAGGTAACACGTGTTGTTTTGTTGTGGGTTAATAATCACTTCACAGATTTTGAAACTGATAGAGGTATGATGGATTTTTTAGAAAAGTTTGAAGCTTGTTTAGAAAGTGAGGTAAGCTTATCAGAATTAATATTCAGTTTATTATTCTTAATTTTTATAGTTTATAAACAAATATTTATTTGTTATTTAATTTAAATAAATTTATTTTCCAGAAAATGAAAAGCCAGCTACAATTATTGAATTTAGCTTCGGCAACAAAGGCACGCAGTCGTACAATTACATTAGCTCGTTCCACAAGAGATGAAGTTTTGCATTTCTCTATTTTGGGAGGTTATGAAAGAGGATTTGGAATATTTGTTTCTAAAGTCAATAGAAATTCCAAAGCTGAAGAAATGGGTCTTAAAAGAGGAGATCAAGTAATAAATTCATTAAGTTTTTAAAAAAGTTATTTCAATAAAAGAAATTCATGATTTGTAGTAAATTGACTTGAAACTTATTAATTTCAGATATTAGAAGTTAATGGTCAAAGTTTTGAGCACATGAGTCATGCAAAAGCTCTAGAAATTTTACGTGGTACTACACATCTATGTATAACAGTGAGATCTAATTTATTAAGTAAGTTTTAAAGTGATTAATAAGTTTAAAAATATTAGCTTAATGATGATGACTAGTTATGCTTATGTATGTATTACATTTTGATTACAGCATTCAAAGAAATGCTCAATACACCTGAAAATTCCCCCCGTCCACGAGGAAGAAAAACGTCCGAAATTGCTCGGTTACAGCCAGATCCTAGAGCAAGGTTATCATCACAGATGGAATGGCAAGAGGGAAATAATAGAAATGAAAATATGTCCCCTAAATCGACAACAAATTTTATTTATCCATCTACTGATGGATCTATATCAAAAACTAATGGAACACCTTCCAGTGATGGGCGTAAAGAAGATAAAAAGGGTTTCATGACACTAGGACATAAGGCAAAGTTAAGACGAGCTCTAGCAAAGATTAGTCTAATTCCAAAGTCTCTAAATAGGTAAATTTTAAGATAATGATAAATTTAAAAGAAAATAAAAGTTGTCAAAAAATATGCTTAAATGCACTTTTTCCTATTAATTTCAGTGAATCTCATTTAAATAGTTCTGATGATAGTCTTTATGCTGGTCATCATAATGGTGGTTCAGGTTATCGGGTTAGAGCAACTTCACCTCAACGAACATCAGGAGGTAGCATGCTGTTCCACAGTCATAGCAATCCTGATCTAACATTATTGTTTACATCATGTGACCAAGATTTGCATTTAGAATATCCTGAGCATGTTTTAAAAATATATAGACCTGATCAAACTTGTAAATATTTACTTGTTCATAAGGTAAGAATAAAAGCCATTTTATTTTCAAAATTATTTTCATTAATATAAAATAAAATAATTAATGTAATATATGTCTAAAATTATTATACATGTGCAAATATTAATATCCAATATTATCTTTTAAAGGAAACAACAGCGCGAGAAGTTGTAATGCTTTCACTTAGAGAATTTAGTATAACAGATCCTAGCAGGTATTTTTAATAGTGTAAATTATTGACTTATAATTAATACTTCCATTTTAAAATATTAATTTATAATATTTCTTTCAGTAATTATTCTTTATGTGAAGTTTCTGTTGGAGAAGGTGGAATGGTAAAACAAAGGAGATTACCTGATCAATTGCAAAATTTAGCAGAACGCATTAATCTTAGTAGTAGATATTATTTGAAAAACAATGCTTCCACAGAACCTCTGGTGCCAGATGAATTAGCTGTGGTGAGAAACATTTAAATTTTTATTTTTATGTTATACATTTTACTAATTGTTTTCTGCTGTTAATATTAATAATGAAATAAAATATTATATATACAAATATTTATAAATAAATATAAACATATAATGTCAGTGGCATATTGAGCACATTGGATATATAAGCTTATGTTAACAAAATGTTGTCATATTATATAGTTACATTTTAAGATTGAAAAATTAAAAATGTTACGATAAATATCTAGATTAAAATGCCAATTATATAGAAAAATATCTGAAGAGTATATATAACTTTTGTAAATGAAACAGTTTTAAACTTTTCTGTTTTTGTTCTGTTTTTTTATTTTTATTTTTTCCTGGAACATCAGAGATTGAAAAAAATCCCTCATATTTATCTGAAAATAATAAATTTTAAAATTTTTTTATTTTTATAATGTATTTTTTTTTTAATACACTTAATTTTCCCTTTATAAGCTATGTATTTTCTTAGTTTTATTATATATACAATTTATTTATGAAACTGTAATTATTGAATATTATCTATTGGCTATTATAATTTAATAGAATACATATTCTATAAATATTTTTCTGTCCATTTGTGATCAATTTGAACATTTAATTATAGAAATAATAAATTTGAATGCTAAAAACATTAAATTCCTTTCAGGAACTGTTAAGAGACAATCAAGTTCATCTGCTGCATTTAAATAGTGTAGAATTAGCAACTCAATTAACATTAGAAGATTTTAGTATATTTAGACAAGTAGAACCAACAGAGTACGTTGATGATCTCTTTGAAGTAAAATCAAAATATGGAACTCCAATGTTATCAAAATTCATGGAAGTAAGTTTTTTCCTGCAAATAATTTTAAAGTTAAATAATGTTTTTCTATTGTCTTACAATGTTTAAAAAATTTTTTTAGTCTGTAAATAAAGAGATGTTTTGGGTAGTTTCTGAAATATGTTCAGAGCCTAATTTAATAAGAAGAATGAAAAAAATCAAACAATTTATTAAAGTTGCAAGTAAGAAATTTATAATGATACCATTTTGAAAAATTTTTATATTTGTATCTATATAACATATTAAAATATTTTTCAGGACAATGTAGAGAATGCAAGAATTTCAATTCAATGTTTGCCATCTTAAGTGGTTTAGGTCATGGAGCAGTTTCACGATTACGAGCAACTTGGGAAAAACTGCCATCAAAATATCAAAAAATATTTGAGGTAAACTTATAAAAATGCATCTTGAATAAAATACTAATATAGTAAAAGATAAATTCATATACTTAAAATTCAGCATTAACTTTTTTCTTTGTTAAAGGATTTGCAAGATCTGATGGATCCTTCTCGTAACATGTTCAAATACAGAGCTCTATTGTGTAGTGAAAACATTCAACCTCCAATGGTAAGAATTTCTTCTAGCATCATTTGAAAATTAAATATATTTTTAATATGTTAAATAGAATATTACTGAACATTTTTTGTCAATTATTTTTTAGATTCCATTTTATCCTCTTGTGAAGAAAGATTTAACTTTCATTCATCTTGGAAACGATACAACTGTTGATGGATTGGTATGTATTTTAAATATATTTTGTTTAAAACAAAAGTTAAAATAATTTTAAAAGTTTACTTATTGCAAATCAAAGTTCAATTATTGTTGTCATTATCAATATTTTTAAACTCTATTTTCACATTTTCAGTCTCAATATGTGGCTGATTATATTGAATTGTTATCAGTTTTTAAGAAGTACTTTAAATGCCAACATTAATTATTAGAAAGTATCTGAAAATATAAACAATGTTTACTCTAGGGAAATTTTTGATAACTTGCACTGTTGTCAAGTAAAGTTATATAAGTCAGGAAAGGCAGACAAGCATAAAAACAGGCACAACTGTCATTAATATGTATTTTACAGCTCTAACAATATACACCAACCTTTTCGTTTTCCAGCACCAGTTTAATGTTTTGACTAACGTTTTTGATCTGTTTTATGGATTAATTATTAAATAAAAATAGAATAATACTTTAAAAAAATTTAACGTGGAAAATTCCAACATTTAAAAATCCCATAAGAATTTTCAATATTTCAATTTTAATCAAATAGAACAAGAATAAGGTGATTGAGAGATAACCTGAAGAAGAATTGTAAAAGAGATTGAAAATATTAGTCAAAACATTAAACTAGTGCTAGAAAACGATAAGGTTGGTGTATGATATTGTTAGAATATTCTCCAGTTTAAATTTATTTTTCATATTTTACAGCTCTATGCAATAGCAGGAATGTGCCAAAATTTCTTCTCAGGAATTAGTGTGTGCAATTAGACATCTGAAGTGTAAAATACACTAAATGAAAGTAATTTTTATATGTATGGAGTGGTTCTAAAGTTGGTTAACCCAGATATTGTCAAATTTTGATTTCGTGGCACTTTTCAACTCACTTTACTAAGCAATACAGTTTGTAAATTCCTCCTGCTTATGATAAGGTTGTTATTATTTGTTTTTACATATAAAAAACAAACACAAATCATACATGATTTATAAATGGTCTATAACTAATATATTAAGTTATATTTTGCATTTTTTACCTAAAGCATAAAATAAGTAAAATTTTGCATGTACTATAAAATCAAATTTCTAGTTTAACATGCAATGCTCAGAAAGTGTAAATACTTTAAAATCAATACAATAAAACCAATAATATTGAGGATTTACTTTACTACCACTAGCAATTAAGTTTTTAGTTGTTATTTTTTTCATAACACAAATTTAAATTGCTTGTTTTTTTTTTAATTCAGTTATGTTAAAAGCTATGTTAAAGTTGGTAGTAGGCAAACAGTACTGGATGAATTATGTATTAATTAATAATAATTATAACTAATAAACCTCCAAATTATACATTTTTAATTGTTATGTCCTTTTTAATGTCAGAAAGAATGAAACCAGAACATCACTAATTTTAATTCATTTACTCTGTTTAATGTTATAATTTGATTTTTCTTAACAATATATAGTCCCAAAGTGATTATAATAGTTGGATGTTACTATATATAAAATGTGTATATATATTAGAACGTTACTATTTCCCAAATTTTTTTTATTTCTGAGAAAATTGGGATTAACAATATTTATTCTGGATTTTTGGAAATTCCTGGAAACAGAGAAGTGAAATGGTCTTGCTGTGGGTCTTTATTACAAGATGGCGTTTCTAATTTTCATCTTATACATAGACTATAGAGAAACATTGCTGTCGTACATCTTAAATCATAAATTTTGCAAATATATTATTTGGAAATAAGGAATTAAAAGTGATGTTATTATTAATTCCTTTTAATAAAAAACAAAGAAATTGATAATAAATGAATTATACAGTTACTTTTTTATAAATTTTAAAAGTAAAAGAATTTAATAATGGATGCCAAATCTGTGAACTCTACTAATATGATTTATAAAGTATTATCTTGGATGAAATCAAGTGCAAAAGTCTGCTTGTAGAGTATCCTATATACTGTACTTAAGGACAATATTGCATTTTGCATTTTACATCTTATTTCCATCTTGAAAGTTCAACATATTTCCATACAGTGGGTTTACTGGGTCTTTTAGCTCTAGATATTATAAAGAATAAAAATTGTGAAACGTTTTAATTTTAATATAATTGCTTAGAAAAATTATCCAAGTTTGTTTTAATGATCCAATAACAGTTATATAACTTGTAAAGTTAACTTGGCAGTTGCAATGCATTATGATGCATTCATATTTAGAATTTCTTAACATATTTTAATTATTTTTAATTTATTTCTTTTAATTGTATAAATAGAATTTCCAGAAATTTCTCTCATTTTCTGGAGAATTTTTTGTTATTATGAAACTTGATTTCCCAGGATTCCCAGGTCATGGTAATTTCAGAAACCAAGCCGTAGTGTATAAAAACAGTTGCAAACTTTATTTGATTTTAGACCAATTTATCCATATATTCATTAATTTTTGAATCAAATATAGAGTTTATTAAAAAGAATTTATTATACTAATAGGTAAATTTGAGGAGGAGAGAACCATCATAAAAACTTCATTAGCTATTTTTTCAAGTTTTAATTCAATGCATGTTTTTTTTTATATGATTTTGAAATAATAGCTATTGACAAAATACTTTGTATTCATTTTCTACTTGTAACTATTAACCAATTCCTTAATAGTTATGTTTTTGTATAAGTGCAATATCTAAAGAAATTGTATATTAACTGATTTTGATATGAATAATTATATAATTAATTATAAAGTTACAATTAAATTTATTATTACTTTTTATTATTTGCACTATTAAGTTATATTGATATAAATACTACTAATTATAAATTTTAATGCATATTTTATCACTTCAGTGTAAAAATAAATTGTTAGAGTAGAGCAGTGTTTCTTAATCAGTGTTCCACAAAACAAAAGATTTTAAAGTTTTTATTCAAATTTATTTCCATTGTTATATTAGTANATAGATTTTAATAAAAATATTTATTTATATTTGTTTGCATTAATAGTTTTAATACAAAAAATACTTTTAAATTAATTTTTGATGAGAACTAATTGTTATTGTTAGTAACAGTTTAGCTGAGAATAGTAAACATGGAATTGCTTATCAATTTTTGAATGTATTGATGCTAATGCTCTGTGTAATAAAAAGTATGTGAATGGTGTTCCATAGCCTCAGAAAGGTTGAGAACCACTGGACTAGAGTATTGACTGTTCTTATGTTAAATTTATATTTCTCAAACAACTAAATATCAGGTCTTTTTATATGCATTAAAACGAAGTAATGGTTTCTTAACTACAGCAGTAATTGTTTCTTTGTTAAATTAATTACAATCTGTTACGATTTTTCACTCTGTTATTCTTAATGGAGACAAACTGACTAAGAAGATTTTTTTTTTTTTCCTGACTGACTGGATAATCATATTTTAAAAATTATATACTAATTTCAGATTGTTCTGCAATTAAAGAATTATTTGAGGTTCTTAATTCTAAATAAAGCAGTATTGCAAAAATAGCTACAATTAATTTAATATTTAGTTATAAATGTGAAGTGTTATCTGTTGATTTAAATGGTATGAAATTTTTAGTTATCATTTATATTCAGATATTATTCTGATTTTGGCATCAGTCAATATGTAACTTAAATCTTTGCATTGTATTGGTACATCCCCAATAAGCATAAAAAGAAAAAATGACATTCATAAATGTGTTATATTATAATACAGTACAGTATTTAAATTATACATAAATTTATAATAAAAAGAAAGTATTAAATTTTTTGTTTGACAAACATGTATAAATTTTTATTTATGGAGTGATGTATTTATTATATAAAATATCATATTCTTTTGACAACTGAGTAAGGCATAGTAAAATTTATGTACATATAAAAGATGTTTGTCGAATTGAATGCATTTTTATGGATGCTGTCAGAATTGCAATGTTATGTTTTTTTTAATATTGGATGAATATAATTTTATTTTGACATTATCTACATATAGAATTTAATATATTTATCTTTTTCATAAAATAAATATGATACATTTCTTACTATTAAGTTAGCTATATAATTAAAGTTATTAAAAACTGGTAGTGATAGTATATAAAATGTTACTGATCCCAAATATTAATAATGTTTGTAATATGAAATTAACTTTTTATTTAATGTAGATAAATTTTGAAAAATTAAGAATGATTGCCAAGGAAGTTCGTCAGCTAATGAATATGTGTTCAGCTCCTTATGTAAGTGCTCTAATTCAAAATTTTGTATAAAAAAATGTTTGATTTATCATTTAAAATTTGTTTTGTATTTAAAGGATTTATTTAATATGCTGGAATTAGGAGGTGCTGCTCCTACAGCAGCAATGGCTTCACTGAATAGTTTTGCTACAACTACAAATGCAGCAACTGTTAAAAGAAGGAAGAAAAGTTCTACACAGTTAAATCCAAAGAAAATGTTTGAAGAGGTAACAATGTTTAGTGGTATCTAAATATCTTTTAGAATACATGTATATTTGTTATCATCAAATTTTATTAATTATATGCATAAAAACAAATAACTGACTTTTTTAGAAGTTTTAATTTTTAGATAAAAACTGAATAGTAAATTTTACTTGCACTTAAACTTTCATCAGTTTTGAAAGAAATTGAAATTACATCTGAATCATAAAATTCTTTGAGAAAGAAAACTTTTTTAACTCTTAGAATATTGATTACACTAAAATGTAATAAATTCTGAATAAATGAATGTTTTGTATTAAGAAATTTTCATGATAAATGTATTTATAGCCCATAGACGTAATGCTAATATTCTTTTTCTTTACCTTTTTAAATAATTTTTTTTAATCAATATTCTCTGTTATGATGGCAGATATATTGAAAAAACAATTGTCACCTAATTATACTTTTTGTTGTTGCATAGAAGTTGGGTCTTTATTCCTTCTGTTGCATAGAATATCCCATTAAGGGACTATTCTATGTAACAAAAGGAATAAGGACTCAACTCTTGGACTTATAATGTAGTTAATTAAAGTCAATATGCATTATACATGTCATTTTTTATGCTAGATGAGAGGGGTTTATTTTTTTTTGAGTTCAGTAATGGCAAGATCAGACAAAATAACATACAGAGCATATAAGCCAGTTCATTGAAATATGGAGTTGGGCCTTTCTTTGATTCACAAGTTTAATTGGACATGTTGTTATTACTGTCAACATTGAATTGAAATTAAACACTGTCTAGAACAAATTTTAGTCTCATAAATATTGTGTGTTATGTAAATGAAAATGAATGTGCAATTATGCTGAATTAAGAAGTTGCATAATTGCATAATAAACTTGCATAATTGTTAATTCTAATTTTTCTTAATCCAGTTATTCTTTGCACAAATATAGATTTTAATAAAAATATTTATTTATATTTGTTTGCATTAATAGTTTTAATACAAAAAAACTTTTAAATTAATTTTTGATGAGAACTAATTGTTATTGTTAGTAACAGTTTAGCATAAGTTTCATAATTTCTTTGGTTAATAATCTCATCAATTTTATCACTATATTTAGTTTTTTTATAATTATGATTAATAAATTTCTAATAATTTGTAAACTGGTCAGATGTTTTTTCAAAATTTTTAAATATCAATATTTGCTATAGGCGCAAATGGTTAGAAGAGTGAAAGCATATTTAGCAAATTTGAAAATAACAACTAATGAAGATCAGTTGCATGCAATGTCACTTGAATGTGAACCAATGGCAACCACAGGTAATATTTTTCTAACATCTGGTAAAAGTATTGTAGTCTTTTTAGATATATTTTGTATTTCAATATTTCAGGGATGAGTGCTGTACAGACTAGAAGACGTCATCCTTCTCCAACACTATCATCCGCTAGTAGTAATAGTACCACATCTGAAGGAAAAAAATCCATAACATCAAGTTCAAGATTTGGTAAGATTCATTTTTAATTTTAATTGGATTAAAAATCTATAAAATAGATTAAAGTTTACATTGGAAAAATTTGAATATATTGTATATTTAAGATTTGTAAACAGGAAGAAAATGGCAAAATCAGTTTTTAGTCTAAATTTAAATTCAGTTTTTATACATTTTTGAAAATTAAATAAAAGAAATCAATAAAAGAACTGAACTTTATAAATGATTTTCTGTAGACAATACAAGCTGAAAGAAAATGACATATGTTTAATTTCACATTTATAAAAAAAAAATGATTGATTAGGCTTGTATGACTTTATAAATATTTGTTGTTGTTTTGTTCCTTGTCAGTTTTATATGAAAGTTTGTTTACAGAACGTTGAAGTCATTGCTTCACAGCAGGAGTTATAATTTAGATTGATATTTTAATTTTTTTCTTGACAACAAAAAATAAACAATGACATTTTAATTTTTCTTCATTAATTTCCACTATTTAACTAATAGCTGCTTCTGTAGAGTAACTCAAATTCTTAAATAACTTTATATCAAATTATAATGTGAAAAATTCAAATTATAAAATTTTATAAAATATTGAAATCATATTCTAATCATTTGATAAAACATTGTTTTACCTTAAAAATCAATGAAAGAAATTGAAAAATAAAACTGATTAGTAATTTTAAAATACGGATTGTTGTTCATTGTATGAAGAAATTAACAATATTAACAACTGAATGAAAATTGCTAACAGGGCACACTGTCCAATATGTAATTGCCAATTTTGATGAAAAATTCACATTCAAAATGATGAATGACAACACCCATTTTATTGGCAATTGTCAATGTGTAGTTTGGAAAATTGATGGAATTAAATATATGGAAAAGTTATTTAAGTGATCAAGCTTCATAATTTTGGAAATAATGATAATTAGTATAAAAGTGTGTGAAACAAGGATTTTCAAGTTTACAAAGTGAAATTTGTCATGTTCATGGCACAGTATATTTGCTATAGACACAAAATTCAAAGCATGTCACTATACCAGACAAATCCAGCACAAACTAAAAAATAATAAAACAAATTGTCAAAAACATTTTTATTATTATTTTTTTTAGTTTGTGCTGGATATTTCTGGTATATCGGCATGCTTTGAAAACAAAATTCAACATCATGAGCATTGATAATGTGTCTATGGATTGTGTTGTCTTATAGACATAGATGAACATGTTTAACATGTTTGTTAAATTAACCATTCGTTTTTGTTAACCATATTCAATATTATAAATGTCAGTTTTTAGAGCATAATCACATTTATTACATTTCATTTCAATATCAGTGTTAAGAGCATAAGTAGGTGGCAATGATACCTCATAAAGACAAACTTGTTACCTGTGAATTTAAATTAATTTTTCTCAATTGAATTAATTAATTTGCTATTCAATAAGCAAGTTTAGGAATTAAGCTTTTAATAACAATGTATGTTTAATTGTACTCTTCTCATTATTTTATATTTAATATACCATAAGCACCATATGTATTTATTATAGTTAATACCATTTTAAATGATAACTACATTTAAATTCTGAGTCACATGAAACATATTTAATATCTCTAATATAAGATTTCAGATAAAATTTCTATTTGAAATTTTTTAATACTAATATCAAAATGGAATAAGGAATATTATAGGGAATATATTTCAATGTACATTATTATTATTATTAAGAGCTTATTTTCTGAATTAAACTGATTTGTCATAAAACAAAGGAAAATGAAAACAAGATTGATGAGAAACTCTTATTGATGTTTTAGACATTTATATTTATTTTCACCTATTCTGTACAGTTAATAATTAAAATAAATAATTCTGTAATTATCATTTTTATTTAATAATTGTTAATAATTAACTTTGGCAATAAATGCAGTAATATTTTTCTATATGATAATTTAATTACAAGATCAGCTTAATAATCTAACTTTTCAGAAAAATTCTTTAACCATTGAATTTAGGAATTCAAACCTTGTTTTTCAATATATGCTTTTTATTATTATTTATTTGTTGAAACTTTTTTATTCAACATTTTTTAGAAAAAGAATTATGATTTTAATATCTAGCATTTAATTAATCATTTCCTTTCAGCTTGAAATGTCAATTATAAGTTTGTCTTTATATTTCATTTCCAATTCATAAAAATTAAATTTCATATATTTAAAAATACTGATCATTTTAATATATAGCTTTTTCTATTAGAAAATTTTTTAATTTGTTAAGAATTACCATCATGTATTGTATTCAATATTAAATTAATAAATTTTTACAAAATTAGCTTAGTTCTTGATTAATTAGCTTGGTCAAAAATTGAAATTTTACTAAAAATTTTTTTTTTAGTTTGTAAAATCTTTTAAATATCTCCTTACACACATTTGATTATAATTTTATATCTTTTCCTACTAATGTATCACTCACTCATAGACAGACATTTTATTTTAGAGATTAGAAAAATTTTTAAAACCTATTACCTAGTGAATTTTGTAATTTTTCTGCCGAATTTTATGCCATTTTTCACCTGATAGTGATTTAAGAAACTTTTTTCCTACAGAGTTTTCTTTAGTCCTTTTCAAAATTACAAAAAATAGTATTTCATAAAATCTGTCAGGATAGTTTTATGTTAAAGCAGATAAATTGTAATTGTGAACATTCTGTTACTATTTTCACAAACTATCTGTAAATGTGATTGAATATTGTTTTATTGTTAATATCAGTGAATAAACTGTGTATTAGTGTATTCAGGCCATTGAGAGCTTCTGTGAGGGCCAGGAAAAAGCAGGCTCCTTATGCCTTTTCTCCCTCTTTTTGAACAAATGAAAATAGAATATTTCTTTATTAATAAAAAGTAGTCTTAAACAATTTTAATTTTTTTAACTAAAATAACATTATTTTATAGAGGTAGGAATCACTACAAGCCTGGGAAAATCTCCAGGTCTTTCTCTTGACAACCTTGAGTGTATTATTATAATATCTATAGTNGAATTATATTATGCACTTTTCAGAACAACATTCAATTTGCACATGTTACAAGTTTCTATAACAGATATTCTTATATAATCATATCATTCCTCAAAATTCAAAATTTTTATGTTTTCCAAGCACTTTCCTATTAATTTTGAATAAATATAAAATTTTATTCTGTTCTGACATAACTGCATTATCTTATAAAGACCATTTTCAGTTTCTTGCTTTTTTCACATTATCTTATTTGCTGATCTACTTTGCTCTTTACAATCAGTGCCTAGATCCCCTCCTCTTATGAGAATGAGACCAAGCAGTCGCTCTTTCTCTCATGGTGTTCATGTTTTGCCACCCATTCCTGGGCATTCAGGTGAGATATTCTTCTCTTTAAACTGTGTACTATATTTTGCTTTCATGTCATAAATATTCAAATACAAAGAATTGTTTAATAATTAAAAATACCATATAATCTATAGAGGAGAGTCTGATTTCAGAAAAATAAAAACACAATTTTTTTAGGTTAATGTTGATAATTGCTTTTAATTTCATTATGTAACCAAATAAATTTCTATTATTCATTTCAAAATTTAAATAAAGGCTGAAAATTATTATTTTTACTATATCTTTTAATTAAGTCAGTTACAGTATTGATTTCATTTTGTTTTGTATAAAGAAATTTATTATTAAATCTTTCTGAAAAATGTGATGCATAATTTAGGATTGAAAACATTAAAAGTTTTTTCCTTCCTGTAAAATTGCAAATCATATAAACTATTGTGTTGTATAATGTAAATTTTTTTTTACCAGAAGGAACCAAATTATAGTTTCTTTTCAGATTATTTTTAATTAAAAATGTCAGAAAAATTATAAACACCATGTAATTTCAATCATTTCTTTTCAGTTTACCATTTTGTTTTCTTACTAACTCAGCAAGCTATATACAATAATAAAACTAATTTCTCTCATGTATTTAATAACTATGTCAAATTTGTTTTATATGATGTAAATATGTTGGCATGTTGGGACTAGGCCAGATGCTATTATTTTCTCCCACTTCTAGTAATATTGTTTATATTCTCATTTATAGTTTAACCTATCTATACTTGAAGAAAAGCTGGCAAGGGCTATTGCATGACTTTCTCAGTAATCATGATTTACAAAGTTATAGTTATGTGTGATACCATCTGTTATGAGATTTTATTAATTATTATAAAAATATAAAAACCACATGACTTATTTTTGGGGGTAAGAGTGTTTTTAAAGAAATTTTAAGTTCTAATAATAAGTAAAATTTAAGTCTGGCTCCACTGAAGATGACACACAACTCCTCTATCTTTCCATCCTTTTGCTATTAAATTTTCATGGTTAAAAGTCTTCAATCTCCATATATAGAAATAATTGGGCCAAATTTCAAAATTTTTAGTTTATCCTGAGATGTAATGCAAAATATACGTTCTATCCACACATATCTAACTACACACAGAGAGACAGATAATTTTCTAAGGGGTTTTTACATTTTTGGGCTTCTGGCATTTCAGAAATCAAGAAATGCAGAAACAACCAGGGGGTCAAAATTTGACCAATCACCTTGTTTTTTTCTATGTTATACAATATAACAGCCAGGAAAATAATATGTACAGGCAAGTACATGCACTTGGCATACTTTGCCAGAGAAGCAATTTTTTTGTGTGCAGATATTGCACTGTTATGAACAACTGTATTTTGATAAAAAGTCTGAAAATAAATCATTATAATGATTTCAACCCTTTTTATCTCACAGCACACTTGAACCTATAATTAAATTTCAATGACTCATTTAAATTATAATGATTAAAAAAGAGTTAAAAGAAAGATTGATTGATTTATTGGTTGATAATTTTGATCATCAAGTAAACAATAGTAGATTTCCCATTAGCAAAGTATTTGTTTCCATTATAATCACATTTACTATATAAGTGAAAAGAAAATTAGTATTTTTCTGCTATACATAAAATTAGAAGTTAAAAGATGTTTATAAATTTTGTTTGTTACTTTTAATTAAATATTTGACCTGCAATTTGAAATTACTAAATTTCAAATTCAATTTTTTGACATATCTTTGGAACAAAGTTTGCCAGCTTTGAATTATACATTATAAGAATTAATAATTTAATTCCTTTCTAACTGAAGCATCAATTAAAGATGATGACATTATCAGAACTAGTATAGATTTTTAAGATATGCATTATGTATTACTGAAAATGATGTATAAAGTAAGAACTAAAGTGTGCTTCAATCATATTTTTCTTGAAGAACTCTGATAGGAGAAAAATCTATATACAATAAAAATTAATTTTTGATCTTCAGTCAAATGAATAAGATGAATTATTTAAATAAAGTGACCAGTATTTTGCTAGAGATTTTTATATTTGTATAAATATAAAAATGTATTGACTCTGTATTGACTGAACTTATATGAAAGTAGTTAAATGCATTTTTATCATAAATATTTATCTAAATATACTGAGTAAAAATTATTCATATATATATATAATCTCTGTACGTTACGGAAGTCTAGAGAAAAATTTTTGCATTAAATCTGGAGGGGGCTAATTCCTTCCTGTTTACAAACTTAATGTTAATCCCATATAATTCTCTTTTCATCTATTAACAATATCTCCCCTACTTTTTAATCACATATGAAACCCTCTCAACCTTCAGCAAGCTATAATAAACTTTTATGATCTCCCTCCCAGGGGCTGATTCCCCCCAGGCTGTTCGTAAACTTCTCTCCCTCTCGGAATCATCTAAAGTTCGACCTCACCAATCTTCTCACCCTCATCACTCCCTCACTCCTTCTCCTTTTCCATCACCCAATACCATCCGTCGTCGCCACGATAGTCGCCATGGTCGATCTCATAGTGATACAACTAATCCAATGTTGCCGGTGGAGTTGTCTTCAGAAAGTTCCAGTGTCGTCAGCTTTAATAATTTTCACCTGAGGAAATCGCAAACCTCAGGCAGATCACAACCAGAACTTGGGCCAGTTTGTAAGATTTACAAATTAATATTTTGTTAAATTCATTTTTCAATTTAAAAACATTTTATTCTCTTCCATGTTTATCAAAGCCCCCTCCAGATATTTTTTAAGTTTATAAATTCATAATTAAAATGGAAGAGTTTAATATTCAAAATCATTTTGTTTAGCTAACTGAGTTTCTAAAGGATTAGATAAAAACCTAAATCAAATTTTTTTAAAAATATTTCTAGGGTCCATGAATTCCAGTGACAGTGGTAGCATAGGTAGCTATCCAACTCAACCATCCTGTGATACTGATTCTGGTCATGTGTCATCAAACTTTGACACTCACAGTAACAGTTCCATGGGCTCTACAAATTCACCTCCACAACAAAGATCACAGATGGGTAAGTTCATTTTATTAATTATAATATAGTTTTTTCTAGGGATGAATGATAAAATAGCACTCAAAGTGTTTGAAATCAAACTTTACTCAAACATATGCTTGTTATTTACAGAAATAAATAGATAAATTATCAATTAGACATTATTAAACAATAATCTTACTTTTTAAAATATTAATAGAATAATTTTCTAATATATTTATATGAATTATGAAGTGCTATTTTAAATTTTATTTTTAAACAATTCCACAATGTAAGAGACATCATTCCAACAAAGTACTTTTCTTAGTTATTTTAAGATAATCATTGATGAAATTTATTTTATGAGGCTATAAAAATTTTCAATTTGTGCTGATATGATATATAATAGCTGCATCACACTTACATGTAATTAAATACTATGGATTATCAAATTACTAATATAATCTTATTGCTTCAGATCACTAATGACATCAACTTGACATCAACTTCATTAGCAATCAAATGATTTGATAGTGTAAGCAGGATGGCAAATGATGACAAATACTAATCAAGCCCTAGTTTAAATTAATACATCAAGTGTTATGTCATATCTGATAGTATATTGTCTACATCTATGTTCTGTAATTTTTTCTACTATTCAGAAAAACAATTAGCAAAAATTTGTCATTCAAATATATAAATTTGATTAATTAATTTTATCTTCAAATTAGTTTTCTTACTTATTTTTTTTTATAACACAATGATTCTGTTTCTACAGATTATTTATAAAGGTTACATTGATTATTAATCTTCCCAATTTTGTAATGCACATATGCATTTTATTTTTTCTTCTATTGACAAACTGTAGTATCACATGTATACAAAACAAGTTTTGAATATTTTTTAAAAGTTCATTTAATGATTTCAATAAATGTTCTTCACAAAATAAACTAGAATGATTAAGAATACCTAGAAAATTGTCATTTGGAATGTATTCATTGAGATATTTTAGCTTTCAGCAGAATTTACATAAGAAAATACATGAGATGTGGCATATCAATTTAAAAAAAAATAATATATTTTGTATACACAATAACTTAACTTGATTTTGAAAATATAATATATTTTTCAATTAAAAATGATTCTTTAATTGCNATTTTATGCTTATTGCTTTTGTTTAATGAAAAGGTGTATGAATAATTTATTTTTTCTCCTTCTATGACAGCATTTTTTTATCTTTTTCTAATAGTGGCACCCCAACTTGGTAATTTTATTTTTCTTTTGGCTCTCTATATGTCTTTATTAGGGTTATTGCACTTTTCATACTTTTAGTAATACACACAGAAGTGTTATGGTGCTGCTCAGTATTCATGGTACTGCAGCACACTGGTTGAAACCACTGTTTTATGATCTAACTTGTAAAAAATGTGTGTTTCAAATTTTAACATTATCTTACAAGATTGGAAAAATAGAAGATGGAAAATCATCATTAAAACAAAATTGTAAAATATTTATAACAGTTTTATTATATAATAAACATGAAAACTTCAAAGTTTGAAGACTAATTATGTCATCCCCTAAAATTTTTATGAATTGTTGCAACATTATAGCATTTAACTATCTGCAGTCTCTTATATTTCATATTTCAAACCATTTTGATCACATGTAATTCAAATAATAAATGAAAATCTCTTATTCATTTAATTCTTTCTGCTCTACAGCCATTAAGAAGGCAATTGTAAATGTTTCAATAAGGCAGTTTATATTTTAAAAAATATTTTTTCAGTTCTTTATCACCTAGTATCAGCAATTTTTACTTTTATATATAAAATGTATACACACAATTGATATCATGAATTATATTGTAAATTAAAATAATAGGCATAAGAATAAAACTAGAATTCTTTTAAGTGAAAAATCATTCAGGCAAAGATTTTTAATTTGTTTCAAATCTTAATTATTCTAAATTGTTTTAGTCTATTATATTAGAAAAAAATAACCAAGTTAATAAAGAATCTTTCTTATTTAAAATGATATTTTTACTATGGTTATCATTTACCATTTTCAAATGACCAAATGACATATCATGATATCATTTGGTATCATTTGAAATCAGTTATAAACCATTAAAGAAATTATATCTCATGCATTAATTAATAATAATAAATTTTTCACCAAAGATTTGAATTATATAANAATTTTTAAAATATGTTTAGCATTGTTCAATATCACTTTTAAAATTTTTATATTTAACAAGGTCTGCTTTTCTATATTTTGTAATTTAAAAAATTACATGCTGTCTCTATTTTAAAGTATTCTATGCATACTCCAAAATTTATATAAATATTTTTCAAGTGTCTTAAATATTATAAGGTCTGCTTTTCTATATTTTGTAATTTAAAAAATTACATGCTGTCTCTATTTTAAAGTATTCTATGCATACTCCAAAAATTATATAAATATTTTTCAAGATATATTCAAGCTTCTGGACATAATATCAAGTCAATCACAGCATGTGTGATATCACATCAGTCAAAAGTTCAAAAATTGCAAAAACAAAACATTTTAACAGATGAGAACAAGTGATATCACTTAATAATCAAATATAACACAAGTGTTGTCATATGTCTCATTAACACATGATTTGAAATTGTGTTAATTGAACATGATTTATGAAATAATTTTTACTAGTAAATCAATTAATTTGGCATCACCTTTGATCCAAGTTATTTATCAATTTTCAGATATAGAATTAAATTTTTTATCTGCAAGCATTGTATAGTTTATTTGTATTGTTAGTCAGAATACTTGCATTAATTGTATAAATTAATTTTAAATTGACATTTCTTTTTTTTTTTGAAAAATTTATTTTCAAACAAACTGTATAAATAATTGGTTATCAATTAAGTCTATAGTTAAAAAAAATGTAAAATAATAACTCATTTAATTTTCAAAACTCTTAATTAGATCCTTTCCCAACTTGAAAGATATTCTACTGTTTGTTTCCAGGATAAATCTTATATTCAATAATTTTAATAAAATTAAATGAATATTGAAAGTTTCATAATGATATTATAATTATTATTCTAAATGCTATTTAAAACTTTTTGATTTAAGAAATAATAAAAAAAAATAGATAAATTTAAGTATATTAGATTTTTTCCACCAACATTTAACATCAATATTTAACAACGTATTATATTAAAAGACATTTTTAAGTTAAAAATGCCTTTTAATATAACATGTTAAATATTATATAATAATTTATTTTCTAATTTTTATAAAAAATTTTATATTTATTATGCTAAAATATTAAAATATTTGCATATTTTATTACAGGTAATAGAATGGTTGGTCACAATGTCCATGCTAAAATGTCCCATAATCGAAAAATCGCTCATTTGGGCAGAGCCCATAGCCAAGATCGTATGCTAGTAGGATATTACAGCAGTGATGTTACAGATCCAGAAGATGATGGCGAGGTTTAGCATTTTTTTAAGTAGTAAGTATTTATTTCTTCTTATGACTGAATTAAAGAAATTAAATAAATGATATCAGAACTTAATTAATAATTCCCCCTTTCTTTTTTTAGATGAACATCAACAATATAGACAAACAACCTAAGTTTAATCTACAATATGTAGAAAGTGCTGGTCACAGAAATATTATTTACCTAGTCTCAATTATTGACTATTGAATTTTTGTTGATTTTAGCCATTAATTGGAATCTCTGAAGTGACATTCATATATATAGATATATATAAAAATATAATACAATATATACATATATATATGAAAATAGACACTATATCCTCAGTTAACCAAAGAAGAAAGAATTTGGATACAGCAAACAATTAGGTGTTCATCATGGTGATAAATCTGTTATTACATGACAGATATTTTATTTTCGTTTGTTTAAAACAGTTTCTAGTGTTCACAAGAACCAAAACTTTGTGTATATTTGTTAATTTGTAAATAACTTAGTTTCTAGAATGAGATTTATTTTATTATTATTATCATTATTATTATTAAACTTCCAAACAGTCTAAATGCTCGTTTAATAACATTTGAAAAGTACATGATCATCAAAACAGTAAAAGTACAAAGCTTGTGATTGATATATGAAATAAACTGATGATCTGTAATTTTTATTTAAAGGTGTACAAATCTATACTGAATATTTTTAATTGTATTTAACTGTAACATGCAGTATTGCTATTGTAACCTATTTAAAAAAAATTATTATTTAAATGTTTATATTTAGGAAATTTTTGTTGTAAAATATTAAAACTAGCTATCAACTGTTTTCTGTTGGAAAATGTTTTGTTCAGTGGATATTTATCATATATTCTTTCTTCTAGGTTTTTGTTGTTGATAATGTTCAATATTCAATTTTTAAACAGTTAAGATTGTCTACATTTGGCTAATGTTCGTGTTTGTTAAGAATAAGCTTCAGCTTTGTTTATAAAACGTGTTCATCTAAATCTTTTAAATGTTGAAACAGCATAAGTTCTGTTTACTGTTTGCATCTTTCCATTCTTTATCAAGATGTCCACAATAGTAAAAAAATTCAAAATATTGCAAAATGAAGAAGAGCAAATTATTAAATTTCTGCCTTAAAAATGCCTTATGTTATGCTATTTCTGAAGAAAAGCTTTTTCTTTTATAAGCCTTTTCCTTACGAAATTTGTATGTTAGTGCTTTGTCAAATTTGAATGATATTGTGTGAAGTGAAAATTCATTTAAACATTTTTTTGGTGTTAAGAGTGATCAAATTTAACAAAGAAAAAAAAATCATAATGTTATTGTTAACCTCAGGTATAGTGAGAAAAAAAAATGTGGTCAACATATGAATCTCTGATTTTTGAATGAAACAAATGTGCATGGTGTCTTTGAAGTCAATAGATGTATTATATGATTATACTGTATGTGTATATATATATTATATATACTGTATATACTAGAAAAAAGTATTCAGTATATACAGATACACACACAAATAAGGCATATATATATATAATTTTGTAATGTATGTTGTACTGTACAGGTGTGTGTAGTTTGATACTAAGAATTTCATAAAGGAAACTTGTTTTAGCATTTAAAATAGAGCTGCTTATTTATGAATTTTTTGTTCATTTGTTATCAGAACAAATAATAGACAGGGCCATGCAGACATCTCCTGCCAATTCTCTGCCATTTGGTCTCCATGCATTTGGAATAAGTTGCCTTTTCAAATATCTGTCACTGAATAAAGGTACATTGAACAATGCCAAATACTGTGTTTACAACAAGATTGTGGAGACATTCTCGCAAAATAACTTTTTTGCATATCATTACTTCCAAAGTTTCCTTCCTATGTAGAAACTGTTTTTAGAAAATCTTGTAAAATATGTGTAAATATAACCACATTTTGGTCAAATAAATTGTACTTTTGATCATTGTGGTGGTAAAATTTCATTTCTAAATCCTGTTGTGTAATGGCATTGTAATTTAAATGAATCAATAACAGATTAATGATGACATAAGGGAAACTGCAAAACAAGCCATGACAATACATAGTTATTTGCTTACTTTTTTAAGAAAATGTTTCTTGGATTATGCATTATTTGTAGTCATTATTTATCATAGAAATGAAATATTAATGCTGTCCTTTGTTACTGTACTATTCTATAAGAACATTAGATGATTTGAATGGAAATTTTATAAAGTATAATAGTGCTATCAATCTATTGATGTAAGCCACAACAACAGTTGAAAGACTAAACTTAATATACAGTACTCTTTTGAGAGACAAAGTGATTATCTAGCAAGCATCAGTTGTGATGATGCCTCCTACATTTGTTAAAACTATTTTTATGTTGAACAGTCAGAAAAAAGCAAGTTTATTCTTTGTGTTTCATGAAGGAGATGATGCATTTTTATCACAATACAGAAATTGTTTTTTCAGTTCCGATAGTATTTTTTTCAAACATATTTCATATTTTCACAGTCTAATATGAAAAAACAGGGTTTTGGATAACTCAGATTTATTATTTCAGTTCGGAAAACAGTATTTAATAGTAATGCATGTTTCGTTATTTACCAACACTAAAACGAATAGAATTTAATAATAATTTTATAGAATAAATCAATTCTAACAAAGATGATCAGCATGCAAGGAATCAGATAATGCTTTTAACATCTTCGTAACTAATTTTTATCTTAAAAATTAATAGCACTAAAAACATTAGTGCACACAAATATATACCGATTATACATACAAGCATAAATTGCATTACAAAACAAAGTTAGCATTTCGCATTTGTTTTTAGCATTCTTCTTGTAACGTAAAACAAGAAATAATTGTGATTTTCACGTAAAATACATCATTAGCATTAATTTTTAAAAATTATTCTACAAATAATGAACTACATTTATAAATGTATCTTCATAAAGATTAATTTGTTTTTGAAAATGTTTTAAATGTTACCGTGTACACGTTCTAAACACAGTACGCAAATTCTTTATAACACAACAAAAATGTATTTGAAATTTATTTTCTTCACAAGCGAGCAACACTCTTTTAATAAGCACAACACTGGTTCCTTATCAGCCATACAACTACACACCCTGGTCAGCACTGACCCCACACACCAAAGGGAAGTGCACAATTTCTTCCTCTCTAGCCTGGAAAATCTCACCCCACAATCTTACGCATACGATTACATAAACACACCTGACACGTGTGATAATTCTGTTTAGTTGTATATCGAACTTAACAGTTTTAATTTTATTTATTTCAGATAATCTTTAACCCTTGAAATGATAAATTTTCAATTATATCGTCATAAAGATTGCTATTCTTTAAAATAAATTAAAAGTACAGCAAGCTCTCAGTTTAATGGGATGGTTAGAACACGCTATAAGGTTGGGTCAAAGAATCAATGAGTAGACTAAATTACTCAATGTATATTTATTATAGTAATTTATTCATACAATGTTTATCTTATATAATACATTGTAAGTTCATTATTATGTAGGTTTTTAAAACACATTCAATTGAACTAGTGGCACTCGCAGACTATGAAAAGGGGGGGCACAAACTGTAAAAAAAAGGACATCGTACATTTCACAAGGGGTTTGAAGCTGATTCAACGTCGGATAAGCGCTCCCACAAGGTAGAGCTTGTTACACTTTGGTCTAACTTGGCCTTGAAAACAAAGAATATTTAGTCAATATAAGACGAAGTTGAATAGGTCAATGGACAAATATCGTTGATTAGTTTCTTTTATATTTGCAGAATAGACTAAAGTCACGAATTTTCTGTCGTCTGAGGCCCCTTTGGAAATTAGGACAACCGCGACGAAAATGGGGCATGTGCCCCAATGTATGGGCGCCCGTGGATTGAACGGATTTTCGGCAATAGTAGATATCCCCTTCCCTTGATCCATTAAATAGATATTTTTTTTCACATCCAATTTGATGAAATGGAGATGAAATTTTATATAGGATATTTACTTCATTGTGTTTGAACCACATTATTTGCGATATATTTCATTAGTCCAATCATTTTACAATTTAACATTTGTACAAGATTATGGAATTTTGATGTAGAATTTTAAGGCGAAATATATATATATATTAAAGAAAGTGGGACAAGAACACACGGTTTTGCTATAATGACGTATTAAACAAAAACAATAATTCTGTTCAAAACCCAAGATCAAGCTGGTTTTTATACTAATAACACAAGACTTTGTCAAAGATGATGCGCTTAACAGGTTGAATTCCTTGAAAAAAATGTTTTAATCTGAAATTAAGAGACGAAAACAAAACTAAATAAATGCTGTTGAAGAAAAATATTTTAATTTCTCTGTTTATTCAGAAAAGAATAAACTATCTGAATGATTAAATTAGATTTATTGCATATGGTGCTAACTCAATGGATCATCTTTACAGTCTGCATCATTATTATAAAGTAGTCAAACAATACGAGTAAAAGGAAGAATGGGAAATGAAGACTAATGCAAAATATCTATGAACAACCGTTTGAGATCGGATTCTTATATCGGTAAAAGCCATTAACTATTCATTTAGCTGAACTGTGATGATAATAGCAACTTATCTCTGTTATGAAGTACTGTATCTTCCGAAATATATTTAAATACTGTACTCTGATACAATCGTACGACACACAACACTCACTATTTAATTAGCATCTTTCTTCATAGGACATTTAGCTGAGAAGAAGAAAAATTCCATCAGCGAAGTCCAAACCTTTCAGTAAAAAAGTGTAACTACGAGCAAGTAATATCCACGAACGACGTGAGAATATCGTTACACCTGATGTGTGTCTGCCGTTTTTGTTATTCTGAATAAGAAAGTAACAAATAAATAACTAAAGACTAGAGACAGATTTATTTTATTAACTGCGGAACATCAATTGTTACAGTAGGTGCTATCAAGTAAAAAATAAATGATATTGAAATAAGTTTAATAATGGATATAATTTATAAACTTTATTAAATTACATTTTTTTATTATTTCTCGATTAGACTATGCAGTTAGAATGATTAGTGAATTTATATATTAAATAGAGTTTATTTTCTAAATTTTACGTGATTATAGGCCTAGTAGATATGTAAGATCTTTTCTAGGCAAATGCATTGATGAAATTATGAGATGATATCTTCTTATTCTTTAGATGGCTAAATCCAATTGAAAATTTTTTGTTTTTAATAATTTATTATTATTATTTTCGTAAAATTATTGAACACTATTAATTTTCATATTGCTATTTACTGAGATCATATACTATATATAGGCTATACAGATATTAAAGAGAAAAATTCGTTTACATTTCTTGAAGAATATCAACCATTTCTTTGGAATCCATTTTTACTTTAGACAGTTCTTTACGAATCAAAACTGGAACTTTCCTCTCAATAGTTTTAACTATCATTTCTTTGGAACTGGTGGTATAATAATTGTTAAACAATAACAATAAATGTTCATAACCTCTGTCAATGACCTTGATTTTATCAATCCAACAATATCTAAAATTATAGTTAGAGAATTCTATTAATTCGCCAATTCCTTTTAAATTCACTAAAAAAGTAGCATTGAAATTAATATCTTTGCTCTCTCCATCTATTATAATATATATATTCGTTCTTAATCTCTTCTCTTTCATTTTAAAAGTTAAAAAATTTAAGCTTAAAGTTACGTCCAATCTTACGCCTAATTTATCTTTCAATACCGATGCTTTGCAATCATCAAATCTATATAACGACGAAAGTCCTTTTATAAGAATATGTCGAATAACAGATTTTTTAACATCAAAGAAATCTGCACGTTCTAGGTTCTTTGTTTTTTTAGAACTTTTTCTAAAATTATTCAACAAAGTATCTATATATACATTTCCAAGCTGGGTAAGTCTATCTGAAAAGAAAATTGATCTGTCAAAATTCCAAACAGAATTTTAATTATAAAGCAAAAATATTTTGGTTTTGGTTTTCTCAGTCAGCGAATTTAAATTATTTTTTTTTAAATATTCTCGTACCTTGATTGGTTGCTGTTAAAACTTCGTCTACAAGCCATACACTCAATAAAATGTAAAATATATTCATACCTAGGAATAAAACTTAGAGAATTAATCAATTTTATAAAGTTACAGATGTAATCTTTAACTTTTAATTTCGCAAGTTATAAGAAGGATGTCTTATAGCAGGAAATCCTTAAACGCAAGTAGTATTTTTCACAGAAGGGAACGTTATGCAATTATTAGAAGAGAGAATTTATTTCTAATTATATTGAGTAATTTTTAAAATTATTTATTTAAAAAAAAAACATTATTTTCACTCTTATTATAATAGTTATTACAACTGGTAGCCCACAGTGTTTAAATGTTGTTATACATTATAAGATTCAACAACGCAATGGAATCAATAATTTCAAAAAAATTACACGTGTTTTAATATAGCCTATATATTTAACCATTTAAATAGATAAATTAATGTTTTTAATATATTTAAATATATTGTTTTGATATTAAATGGTTATTAGAATGTGCAGTTTTATTTTTCCGGCAGTTATATATAACAGAGGAAAAGTATGACGAGTGGTCAAAAAATGACTCCAAGGTTTTTATATTTTTGGATTCGGGATCTTCAAGCGTCGAGAAATGCAACAAAATTTGGGGAGTTTCTGAATGTCTGGATGTTAGTGTGTGGAGGGAATAATTTTGTTTATCTCCTTTGAAGCTTAATAACTCCTGTGCTTTTCGTCGAAAATTTTTGAAATTTTGCAGAGATTTGTGTTGGAGGACTGATGCTATTAAAGTTTGGTGGTTAAAGGTCGAGGATGGGGAGATAATGGGGTCGTGTGTTGTATCTCGAGTAGGGTCGGACTTAATGAAGATTTTATTCTTTATTGGCATTTGCAATATTTTTAAAATAAAACTCATCTGTACTCTCAAAATAAACTTTTTTTTTGCCATTTTATCATAATTAATAATAAAGTTTTTTAATAAAATATCATAACAGATGATGCCGCACGTAATTTTAAATGTTTTTGCCGGAAAGTTACGCAACTCGTTGCTGGTTTTTTCTTATATTAAAATGATAGATTAGAAGATCCCCAAATTTATTTTCCGATACTGAAACTTTCAGTCCACTAGCGACCGAGTGAATAAAACCACTGAACAGCGGTGGTTGGTCCCGAAGTTCGTGCCTTACCAACGTAAATTGGGACCAGTTTTTTATAGAAAGCCCTTCCAGCAAACTTGGCATATCGCCTTTGTGTTGTCTTATTACATCAAATCAAACCAAAACTTTCAACTTTATTGATAAGCGTAAATTTTGCTGAAAGTATAAATAAATAAATTTTGTATAATAAAGTTTGCATAGTCAATTATTGGTGTATTTTCTTTGTGATTAGTTTCTAATCGTACAGAGAACACACCAATAATTGACTATGCGAACTTTATTATACCAGAAAATGTATTTCGGGCCTTCTTATAGTTCTTTAATTACAGATCTTTGATGGTTTATCAAATATATTAGTGACTACTGAATAAATAAACTGTGAATTGATAAACTAATAAATAACATTAAAATAAAATTAAGTTAACATTAGACTATAATAAAATTTTTTAAAAGTGATGAAATCATATAAAAAATTTAAAAACTTATTATACTAATGTTATATTACAAATACACGTAATAATATAATTTTTCATACTCGTGCGTAACAATTTGCTATGGATTTGTTAGTTCATCCATGTAACAATTTTGGAATTTTGGTGCCCCATTACCTCGACACCCTGACCACGTGCTCCCTCTACCTCTGCTTTTCCAGGGCCCTATTCAAACGATCCAAAAATCTATGCCTTTTGCAAATATGCGTTAAAATAGTGCAATAGGAACAACTTAAACAATTTGACATCAAGAGAGATTTGCCATACGATCTTTGTTTTATGTGAACCAGGCTTTAACAGAATTGTTCGACTGAATTCGAATGAGTGTATAGGTTTAGGACCATCCAATTACTAGTAATTTAGATGATCCTAAAGCTCACTATACACTCATTTCAGTCTCAAAGCTCAAAACATGTCAAACTATTTAACATATCTTACAATACTTTGAGAATTTGTGTTTAATTTCTATTTGAAATTTTTATCGAATTTTCTTCGTAATTTTTCTGAATTTTATTCATATTTCTTTCTCAACTTTAACAATAACTCTCTTTAAAAGTTCCAAAAGTTTTTATAATCTTTCTACCGAAGTATTTTTTAAAGGTAGTGTTCATATATTAAAGTCTCAGGTTTTACTGAAATTTTATAAATTTTTAAATTGAGAAAATGAAATTTTGAAATAGCACAATGTAAAATTATGTGATTTTTTTCATGTCGAAGTAATACAGAATATAAGAAATGTAGCATAACTATTTTTACCAGTCTTTATTGACAGATATAGAACAATAGCAAACATTCTTGCAAATATCAAGATCTACTTTTATTTACAGTTATAGTCTTCAGAATTTAAAGAATGCAATACAGCTGCCGTTTAATGCATAAATAATCAATAATATAACCTACACAATAAAATTTATATAGATAAAAATGTTTATGAATATTACATTAAAAATGTTGCGTTACTTCCACTGAACTTTGTAATAGTAAAGTTATTATTTCTTTTATTAAATATATTGATTTGTCAGCTTTTATATCATATTGAAATATAAAGCTATATAATACCTATAAAATGTATTTTTAAAATTGTGGTCTACTGAAATTATTAAATAAACTTAAATTCACACATATCAATATTTCAGGGAGTATAACTGTATAATTTAAAATTTCTGTACTATGGTATAGTACTAATAAACATTATAAAACAGTTGAATAATTTTAAAAATCTTTTATAACTTAATCTAATACAATTCAATTACAAATATGTTTTGTAATAATTTATTTCCAAATTTTCAACTGCAATCTCCACATATTAGCCAAACAAATTGAGTAAATAAAATAATCTTGAAAAACAAACTGAAGAAAAAACTTCACAGAAAACAAACTCATGAGAATGATAAAGTTGTTTTTTTTTATTCTATCTACAATTAAATGTATATCTGTATGTTTTCGTAGAAATTAGAACAGATGTGAAAGTTATCAGTACCACACAAAGTACTGTACCTATCATTAGTAACCTTGAAGATATCATTTTATGGTTCATCATCATTCTTCCAAGTTCTTTTTCTCTAAAGAAAACCGTAGAAAAACATGTTTTCGCATTGTATTCTAGGTAAAATATATTTTTAATTACATTTTTGATTTTTGATAAATGATTTTTCAAATTATTTTATATTGTAGTTCTCACCTTTATCGCACTAAATAAAGCTAGCGACATTGAATTGTTGAAAAGCATTATTGATAGTGTAGAATATGTTAAACAATCAAAGGAAGTTTATGCAGCTCCGAAAACGTCGTCTAGTCCTTTCGAAATTTGTTACGGTGATTTAGGATGTTTTTCTAAAAATGGGACTTTTAAACATATGAAATGGCTTCCAGAGTCACCTAAGAAAATTGGAACCAAATTTGCACTTTATACAAGAATAAACCATGATCTTCCGGTATATCTCAATTACGACGATGAAGAAAGCTTAAAAACTCACTTTTTTAAACCAGACAGACCCACTAAATTTATTTGCCACGGCTTTACTCAGAGTGGACAGAGTCAGGTTTTTATCGACATGAAAAATGCTCTTTTAGAAGTAGTAAGTGATATATCCATATTTTTCATCAAAATGTTTATCTTAATCAAAAGATTTTTATTAATTTTAAAATTCCAGGAAGACGTAAATGTTATTATTGTAGACTGGAATCGAGGTGCTGCTTTACCGTTTTATTTATCAGCGGCCGTTAATACTGAAGTAGTAGGACGACAACTTGCTAAATTGATCTATAAACTAAAATACGTTCGCGAATTATCCGGAGAAAACATTCACATCATTGGATATAGTCTAGGATGCCATTTAGCTGGTTTTACTGGAAAAACATTGAGAGACAAAATGGGTATTATTTTGGAAAGAATAACAGGTAAGTAAACAAGAATGCTGTTATTATAGTATGCTTTTTTTTTATTTATGTTACAAGAATAATAGAAAACCGGAAAAGTGTCATTAACCCTTCTGCTAAGACGTATCCAAACTAAATTCACGCTTTACCGTAATTAATTCAATTTTTTTTTATTAAAAAAGTTATTTTATTTAAAAAAGCTATATAAAAAGTTAAAAATGATCAAAAAATGCTTTTTATAGACACTCCCTGAAGCTATGTTTATCTTTAACAAGGTGTGAAATTTCACACCTGCAGTCTACATTGTTTAGAATCTGGTTGACCTTGAGAACAGCTGGTGACAGCTTTCCCGGGTCATTTACATGTATGCCTCAGGAGAAGACCAGTTTAAAGCAGGAGGAAAAATAATATACCATAAATATTCAAATATAACACACAAAATTTCCGATTTTTATGCTATTAAAATATAACCGAAAAAAAGGTAGTCCATATATAAAAAATTCTACTGAATAAAAAACAAAAAAACACCTGCTGATGTCATAGAAAATATCCAATAGCGTTTTAAAAAATTTTACTGATGTCAAATCAGTCCAATAAGAGTTTAGAACGATTTAATTAATTTGATTTAAAAAAACTCTCATAAAAACAATAATGCAATTAATTAGCTAATTAATAAAACGTTATAAAAAATTTTCGCGGAAAAAATAATTCGAAAAATTGGCATAGGTCATAGATAACAATGTATATGTACGGGTCCATTCTTTTTTGAAAAATTACGTAATTAAATAAAATACCTTAAGGACTAGTTTTTATGTAAACTACCCGAGTTATCTCGGGATTATTAGGAAAGATGAGCGTCGTAATTTTGACACAAGGAACTTTCCGGTCAGAGACAACAGTAACTGTGATTGGCGACACTGTTGATGCGACATAAGACAAATTGTCTTATCTCCAGCAGTTCGCGAAGCAAGAGCGGTGTAGTATTCTCCGATTTTTGACAAAATTAAGTGACATCCATAGGCACGTGCAGATACAGTAAGCAGAGAACTACATGAGGTGCACGTAGGTGTACGAGTAAATTTCTAAGATTCCAAAAACAGCCACATTTCTGTAGAAGATTCTTCATTGCATTCAATGCAATCCCAGCCGTATAGAATATTTCATAGAATTGTGGC